CTCACTATTAGAAGGCAAATAAAATGAGAGTAGGACAAATCAAGACTTGCACTTTTAAAAGGATTCGATAATGATTGTTTTATCTTTAGGATGCATATTTCATGTTCTCTGAAGCTCTAGCAAAGTTCAAATAAAGTGTTTGTTGTTATTCAAACCCCAGGATCTGGCTAAGTTAGTTTTTAACAGGTGTAATGAACATCAAAAAACACCCGAAAGGATAAAGATCAATGTCTGCTGTGGTGACTTTGTTTTGCAAACCTTTTCAAACCTGAGTAACTGGTAGCTATCAGTTGTCCATTAAAAACTTCCACTGTGCGGAAGCTTCCTGTGGTTGCTTCAGATTACTGCTCATAAACAGCTCTGCAGGCTTGTTTGAGGGTAGAAAAACAATCACAGCTGTGTGGATCAGCAGAGACTAGCGCTACCCTGTAGCAGACAATGATGATGATGATGTTCCTTTACATCCTAATATACACTTGTCTCCCGGCTGCTTGCATCTGACTTTTGGTAGAACAGTTGCTGGCTGCCATGAAGCCAGAGATAAAACAAGACTGAAAAGCGCAGCGTGAAAGGCGATTAGGGCCGGTGAACTGTGGAGGTTATTTTGATTCGCTACCACATTCTGACAGAATGGTGTGGTGACAGCATCCGTCAGCGGCAGGTTCTCAACCAGGCAGCAGATAAAACCCTTTATGACTGTGCTGATATCTGAAGCTGAACTAAAGGCTTACATGCAAACCCCCATGGGCCTGATTTTTAAAGATCCTGATTGAGGGTTGCTAAATTGCACATACAATTTATTTTTAAGTACATGCAATATGTGGCCATGTTACAGGTGATCTAAAAAACATTGCTGTGCAAATGTTAGGATGTGCAAACTGACTTGGCTCTATCATTAAAATGAGCAGATTGCATGTTTCACAGGCCGTTAAGATTAGTTTAAGATTTGGAAAATCACTTTTAAATGTAAAAAATGTTTACATTTGCACAGTTTGGTCATCCCAATATGATCTGTATATTGATGAAGGCAAAAAATATCAAAAAGGTTTAAACATGCTGTCTGCTGGATTACAAACTTAAATCATTTTGCACCTTCTTTGAAGATCTACCCTGCATGTATAAACACATTTGGAAGTGTTTTAGGGTGTGCAAATCTGCAGATCAGGTGCTATGTTTCTAACCTGACTCCACCAGATGGATATGCGAAGCAAATCCATCTGGAAACCTTCCGTTAAAGTAATTTTGGGAAGGGGCGAAAATACTGGTTAGATGATTGGCCTATGTTGGTGATAGAAATAAAATAAACCAATCAGATCAACGAAGCATATGACGTACTAAAAGAGCAATGACGAAAACACAACCACAAGATCAAACTCTTGCCGAAACCAGTCGGGAGGTGAGCAAAAACATCTTTTCCTCTGAGAAAAGCCTCCAGAGCAGTGTTTTGCTCTTCTTTCAGTGAAGAAATACAGTGTAATTCCGATAAAACTTGCTCGATAGCCACGCTAACGCTAGTTTCATCGGCTGAAGCCGCCATGTTCTTTAGACTGAACTGTCGCGCTTCTCGTTGCATCACACCTCAACCCGCCTCAAAGCCAACGCTGATTGGACGTTCGTTTGGTAAACGGCTCAAAATTTTCTTTAACGGAGAGTCTCCAGACTGATCTGCGAATGAAAACCTTGAAAGTTCGCGAGATCTCACGAGGCTAGAGGCTCGGCAGTGGCAGAATCATCATGTAGGAATTGTTATCTTCATCTAGTTAAGCCAAAAACATAGCAATAAAAACAAGATGGTGATTTATTTTCCTGTAGGAAAAATATTTGTTTACAAAGATGAAAGAGTTTAAAAAAAAAACACATCTTTAGATAGCACAACAACCATGCTACTGTCCTTGTGGTTGTCACACTGCAACGATAGGTTCGTTTTCATTAACTATCGAATTGAGCAATTGTAATTATGAAAATAAATTCTCTGAATTTCGGAAAAAATTAAGTTTTTTTGATAAAAAGGTTTTAATGCTTCGATGAGGTGGTTCTTTGGTAGTATATCAAACATTTTTATATTTCGCAATGGAAACAGTTTTTTCGCATCACACCAGTCCTGTAATCTGTAGCTGGACCTTACTGCCTTACAAAAAGATAAAGAGGAAGACCAGAAGTAATTTTTATGTGCAATTTCAATTGTATTTGTTATCTAATGGAAATACGCAGATTGGAAAACTTATTTTTTCAAAATTAGCAGAATATAAACAGTTTTGGACACACACATGTGTAATAGAAACACAGTTAAGTAGCATGGGAGTGGCATTCTAGTGGTTAGGGCGCTGTGCTTGGAATCCTCAGGTTCTAAGTTCACTCCCACAGAATGCCACCCTGGGTACCAGAGCAAAGACCCTTAACTCCACATCGCTCACCGGGCGCCGCACAATGACAGCCCACTGCTCCCCAAGGGGATGGGTTAAATGCAGAGAGCTCATTTCATTGCCCTGTGCTTGTGACAGTGTAATGTGAATAAAATAAGCAAGAATAAAAAAAAAAAAAAAAGCATAGGCCGTGCAATTCTGTCCTCACAAACAGCAGCTTGACTCAGTGCGGGACAGTCTTTCAATGGGCCTCATTTCCTATGGCTTCACCCGCTTCTGTTTATCCCTATTTTAGTACTAGTCTGCAAGCAGCACCGGTGGTGTCCCCCAAAACAGGAAGGGCAGCAAGGAAGTGTCTGAGAGCCAGCAATTTTAACATAGGCATAGTTTAATTTATAGACTGAAGAATAAAGACTACTAAATGGTTGATAGAGTTGTAAAAAAAGGCTAAAAAGTTATATTCATAATGCATAAACAAACATCAAACTTCAAATCCAGATTTATCTCCTGATACCAGCGGTTGAATACAGGCAGGTTCTATCTGAACTCAGGAAAAAAAACATAGCTAATAATAATTTCCAGGGCCTCTTTTAATTAAGTTTCATTTAAAGACATTTTTATTAGAGGAAATGTACATATTAGCGTTGCAGAAAATACTTCAGTTAGTTAGGTTACAATACGTCTCTACTTGGCAGGAGTATCCAGAGCTATAAACAAACCTCTCTGCCAACAACGTTCAACTTTAATAACCGCATTTTTACAGTGAAGTATAATAATCAGGAAAAGTTGTTCACAGCCTCTGACATGGAGACATTATATGAAGCTAAAAAAACGTCTCTCCTGTGTGGCCTGGTATCTGCTGTGCGCTCCGACGTATACAACCTGTTTTAGCATCACAGACTCCTGGTGCAGACGGCTCTGTGCGCTGCCCACTCAGTTATTAATGATGGTGAGAAACCCAGCGTTAAAACTGAGGATTTCACCGGACAGGAGCAGAGGCTGACAGTAGACATCATAAAAACGGCTCATGAGAAGAGAGGGAGTGCGTTTCAATCACTGAGCTTCACTCATTATTTAGATCTATGTCCTAAGCATAGGCGTTTTTAGACCATTCTTAAGGGGTGCTGAAGCACCCTTAAATTGAATCATAGCACCCCGAAGATATGGGTTGTTTTCTATATTATATATATTTAATATTTATTTATTATTATAAAAGTAAAACACAGCCTAAAACTATATAGAATTTTATTAAAAAAGAAAAAAATATATATACATATATATGAAAAGTATAAATATTCTACCATTAAAGATGGAAAGAAAATCAGCTGCCAGTGAAATGCCATTAATTTTGAATTGTGGTTCAACATAAATATTAACAATAAATACACAAACAAAAAAAACAGGTAAACCAGCGCGATGGGGCTCCTAAACTAAATCTTGAGCAACACTTTAAGGGAATCACTGCAGTCTGGTGTTTTCCTAAATGTTCAGTCAGATTTCTACTCCTGCTGATAGTTTGTTGGTGAAACGTTTATAAGAAATGTGCTCTAATGTGTCTGGGACTGTTTAAAAAAAAAAAAAAAAATCATTAATATTTTTAAAATCATAATTCAAAATGAATATTTCAATCTATCAAATCATAAATTTGTAAGTTTTTATTTATATATTTTTTCAGTTTCTTGTTATTAGAATTACTGTTGTGAATTTATCCTTTTCTATATCGGGAGTGTGTCTAAACTGTATATGTAAATTTATCTTGTTAATATAATCCATTTTTGAATTGCCAGTCCAAAGAGAAAGAGGTATACAAGGGGAAGGAGAGGAGCAAAGTGGAAGGTCGGGAAAAGCCATGTAAGTTTCAGTACAGCCTGTCCAAGAAGACAGAAATGCAGGGAGACAAAACACAAAAGTCTCAGATACGATGTGTTTGTGAATGATAGTTATTGGCAAAAGGCACTGAGCAAGTTTCGAAATGTAAAAAAATTATGTAGAAAACGGTGAAATGTATCTTGTCTGGGTGCTCAGCACCCCTAAACCTCTGATCCTGAATTCGCCCCTAGTCCTAATCAATTTGAGTTCCCCTTAGATCTATTAAATATGGCTTGTGTACAGCAAATATGAGCAAAGAAATGCAGAAAAACTTTAAATGAGAGGTAAATTTCATGCAGATTTCCAGGATATTTCTTTTGTGTGATTAGGAACGTTGCCAGCAAAATATTCAAAGGGCAAAAACTTGAGTAATTAAATGCTTTCATTGCAAGATTAATTATAAAAGTTAAATATAGCTACTGCTTCCAGCAGCTCACCTTAGCGTACTACTGACAAAACGGTAAACATCGGATTACAGGTCAAAAAAATTAGCCCAACATAAAGTCATATTTGCAAAATAGAATAAACTGCGTCAACCTAGAATTAAACTGTTTAGAATTAAACATGTTTTTAATGCTTTGAAATCTAGGAGCTAAAAAGTTTTATAAGCTAACAGATTAAAACCTAATAGCTAAATCTAACGATGTTCAAAACTGATATGCAACTTGCATCTAAAAAAAAAAACATATATATATATATATATATATATATATATATATATATATATATATATATCAGATGGTTCCGTGTGTCTTTATCAAAGTCTACCTTAGTGTCGTTGAGCTCTGCCAGTCCTGTACAAGCATTCGCCAGCAAGAAGTCGCCACTCAGGACGGCCATCTTATTCCCAAACTCCATGTCCTTCAGCGGCCCGTCTGAGTCCGTCCACTCCTTCAGATTAACGATCCCTCGATGCACCAGGAATGCTGTGTGGATAAGCTCTGTGATTTCTGCCAGGTTCCTCTGGCTACAAAGTAAACAAAGACAGAAAAGGAGACAAAAAGAAGATAAAGTACAACTTTAGCATTCTTGCTTCTTAAACGAGGGTCCTTTAAAGGTGTAGTGGAAGATGTTCTTTTTCTGGGTGGATCATCAAAATAAGTGGTCCTCCTGATTGTCAGTCATTCTGGTGATACGTTTACGTAAGGCCATACTACGCACTCGTCTCCATTTTCACTTACCGGTGGTGAGTCAGACATAGTGGAAAAATTGCAAAACTTCTTTTAGAAAATAAGGTTGTATGAGCGATGCAAACAGGAACTTTTAAACAGAGCGATTACGAGGAGAAATGAACTTTTGCACGATCTGGCACGCATTTAATAGGTGTTCCCTCTCGGGAGCGGGTACAGGGTTGTGCATGTCTATTTTTTTGGAAAGTGGAAAGGGTGGGTCTCTTCAAAAATTCACGAAAAATCTTCGACTATACCTTTACGATTTGACAGACTAAAAGCTTTTTGCCAGAAACCTGTGAAATATGGGGCTTGTGTGAAGTTTACAGCATCATAACACAGAAAAGAAAAAAAAAAAAACTTTTTATTGTGAACAAGAAAGAAAATGGTTCCTTTTTTTAATCTATGAAACGAACAGGTATATAATATTTTAAAATAAAGTATGTAATCAAAAACTGTTTATTTCAGTATCTGAATTCTAAAAAGGGAAACTCCTCCAGATTGCCACTTTGGTTACACTTCTACATTTTTCTTACCACTCAAATTTCCATTATGTCTGGATACAGCAGTCTGGAAACAACCAGCTTCTTTCCCCATGATCCTTTATGGATTTTGACTGTAGTTTATAACCCTAATATTTATGAAGGACTTGTATCAGAGTCACTGACATCTTTGGTAATAAAGATAAGCTGTAAAAACCACAGATAAAAAAGGAGGCTGTTAAAAAAGCTGCAATTTAAGCTTTAAAAACGGAAAGTTGAGAGGAAGGAAAACCTGCCTCAGAAAAAGGTGCATGAAGAGAAATGGAAAAAATATGTTTCACTATTTTAACTACTTTACTTTATCTCCAAATAATATTCAGAAATATCAGTGGGATCATGATTGTTTATGCCTAGATCTAAAGAAACATTATTAAACCATTTTTTTAATCTGTGTTTTTTTAACAAAGATATATGCCAGACATCGTCACACAGTGGGTTGCATATAACAAAGAACTCAAACTTATCATTATCAGATAACAGCTATTCTTGATTATGAGGAAAGGGAAAAAAACAGTGGAGTTTGAATAGTCTTTTAGAACAGCCTAAGGGAGGATATAATCAAATGTTGATTCAGTCATTGGTTGGGGATAATTAGGCCTCTCTCCATATGGAAGGAGCTCAGCTCGCTGCGGCAGGAGGGATCCATCCAGACAGGGTCGGGTGCACTGATAGCCACTTACGACCTTCTTTCAGCAGCCGTGAAAACCTGATGAGCTGCTCGTCTGCTCTGAGCTGCGACGCCTTCCAACATACGCGCTTGCAGCCACGTAATTGCCATTCTCCGTGTGAAAAAGATGTGATTAAAATTCAATAATGTCATGTATTTTTGCCCCTCAATCACACCCATTGTCTGGTCCGTTTCGCTGCTCGGTGGCGCACGGCAACAACAGCGTCGCTCCCCAAAAAGAAGAAAAAAAAGGGAGTTAATAAGTTCAAGGCTCAAATAAGAGCAAATTAACAGACTGACAGTTGAATGCTCTCAGATTGAATCAGAGTGGGAGCTACACTTTAAGAGGAGAGTGAGTTGTTGCATTGACAAGAACATTAGGTCGTACAGGTTTACAGCTTTAATACAAACTCCACCTTCTCCTCAGTGACTTTTTTATCCGAGGATTTATGATTGTGATAAACACGCTTCATCTTGTTTTTCAGGTAAAAAGTGAACTGTTGGCATTTATCAAACCAGAAATCATATTTTTAACTGTGAAGGCTTATCTGTGCTACAGTTACTAAAGTGTCTATATATTTCTTCAGATGGGAGTTTCTTTAAACCACTTTCCAAGGCATTTCAAACCTAGAACTGTTTTTGATAAAACTCACAAATACAAGCTACATAATAACAACAATAACAAAAAAAACTAAGTATACATTTCCTCGATTTCTTAGTTCCTTCGGATTTGGGAAAAAATTATTCAGCTGCATATGATAAAAAATTAGGACACCTTGTCAAAGAAACGTTTTAAGACATAAAGATATTTAATGGAGATTTTCCTTCTTCTATGAGCTGATAACTGGATATGTTGTACGAATCATTAGCCATGGCTTGAGATCACTAAAGTCAGATGCGTTTCTGCTTCCCTTTGAAGCAGCATCTTTTCTTTATTTTGTTAAGAATTTTTGTTTAAATTGGGACCCGTGTAATGCTTATTCCTTATTATTATTTCATTATTTTCATCATGTATATGGAGGAATAAAAAGCAACATCAGCCAAAAAAGAACTAAAAAAAAGAAAAAAAATTGCCTCTGAAAATGAGCAGCAGGTCGGTTAACTTGATGTAAAAAAAAAAAAAAAAACAGATGTTGGCATTGGCCTTAAAAAAAACAAACAGGAGCAACCAATTATTAATAATTAATATAAACTTTAGAAACCATGAGAAATGCAAGTGATATCACTAAAAATTTTACTAGGGATTCTTGAGTTATCTGCTTAAAATCGATATTGGCTGATAGAGATGATGATCTTGACACAAAAACATTGGAAGCCTGAATGAGGAAAACTAATACCAGCTGTGAAGCACGGAGGTGGAACTGTCATGGTTTGGGAATAATTTGCTGCAGCAGTGGCCAGTTGCATTTTTTAATAAAACTGCAATGGAGACAAGGTCCAACAGTAAATTAGCATGTGAGTTATTAATTAATTATTCATTATATATTAACTAAAGACGTTAAAAGGAAAGTGCATTAAGGCACATTTATGTGGAATGTTTGGTAGACATGCTCCATCATTTTTCTGATGTTTGCTTTACCAAGACATTTTCTTTTATCAACTCATCCCACAGTCTCCTCTTTTCTTTTCTACAATTGATCCTTGATGCCTTTTCTAAACTGTAATGAAGGCTGTTGCCCCTTGAAGGCACTTTGGCCTCGTAGCTTATTCCCAGTTCTTTTTTTCTGGTGTGAGAAATGATCAAACAGATCACTGGGAGGTGGGTGATTTCTCCTGGTTCCCTACGCCAAGTCCACATTATTAGGGTGTTGACCCGACCTTTAAAAAACAATACTGCGTATCTACCTTCAATGCTCATGTTTTCATTGGCAAATTTTTTAACATTGCTAAAATAGTTTGCATATTGTTAGATATCTGCTGCATTCTTACAGTAAAGATTAAGATTTAGGCTTAAGAAATTGTACTGAAAGTGCCTTCTAAGGGAAAATATGAATACACCTGTTAGGTTACAAATAAAAATTGTAATTCCAACGCTAACTGAAGGGATTTGAATGATACTCTTCCAAACAAACCTAGGAAATCCTGCAGTGAAAGCATCACAAGTTAAAACTGGGCACACACATGCAATCCAAACCCTCCAATCTAGCGGCCCTCATCAGCAGCAGTGGAGCTTGGGGAGGAAAAAAGGGGGACAAGGGGGCCGATGTATAAATAGCTTTGGTTCCCAGTTGCATAGCAACCAATGCCATCTTCCTGAGGTGTAACGCCCCCTTACCACGCCCCTTGTCCTGACTGCTCTGTTCCATTTTCCTCCCTCTGCAGTCTCCCTCGCCATCAAAAGCAGACTTGTAGATCTGAGTGAGTCCTGGTGTATGATTTAAAGAGGTGGCCTGTCCATCAGACTGATGCATTCGCTGACGTGGTCCCCCCCTCCAGAAAAAATTAAAAGGTGTGGTGGCGGCAAGTTGGGCGATCTGCGAGAGAGCAGAGTGTTTCAATCTGTCCATCCATCTATTTATCTTGGTGGTGCTTTGGTGAATCATCAGTGTCAGACAGCAGAGTGGGAAATGTTTTACAAATGCTCCCTGTCAGAAGGGAGGAGACCAACCCCCGGAGGTTTCAATCACCCCCCCCCCCCCAAACTCACCCCACCTCAACTCCCTCAATCCTTCCATCTCGCCATTATCCGAGGTGCTAATGAGCCCAGAAGAGGTGGAGGCAGAGGCAGAGAGGGAGCAAACTAGTGCAAATGAGGTGATCAAATCATGCTGTGTGTGTGTTTGGACTATCCATCCATCTCACGGCTGGAGGAACGCTGTGTGTTGAAACCAGTGATCTGATGTCGAACTCATGTGTGTGCCAGGTTGTGTCGTGATGCGATTGTGCGGCAAACCACCACCCTCCAAACCAGGTTTGAGCACCTTCACGATGCCATTTGTTGTTGCTTCCTCTTTTTTTTTATCTCAACATTAAGGATGCTTGGACACAGATGTGCACCAAACAGATGTGCCAGCTTGCAGTAAGAAAGAAGCCTTTCAGGCACTGGGTGCACAGCAGTCACTTCTGGAAAACACTTGGCACACGCCCACATGCCTGTCCTGAGCAGCATGCTGGCAGCTGGCATGTGTGTGTGTGGAAGGAGGCCCAAGCAGACGTCAGAGTGTCATCTAAAGCACTATATTCATACTGCATGAATATGCTGCACCCCTCAACATGCGTACTAGCTCAGGCTCATTTTAAGTCCAAGAATCTGCATGCTTATACAATCATTTCAATTTGAAACACATTTTTAGAGGTTTACCTCGTAACTGTTTGTCCAAAGACACAAAATAAGGATGAGTCAAGAGCTAACAAAAGTATGAAGGTAAAATTAAACACTTTCTTAATAGAGTTTCTTCTTTAAAATCATCTTAATGGCATTTTCTAAAGCAGAAGACTACAACTATTTTTTTCTTTTATTATTACAACTCGGCTCAGTGGATTGAGTGGTCAGATTGTTATTAAGATGCAAAAACACAACGTTTTCTTTCTCTTTTTCCAGGTTCCACTTTATTCCCAGTTGTACCTCACACGTAGCTGGCAAGTTAAC